GGACCGGGATCGGGAACCGGGACCGGGATCGGGGACCGGGACAGGGAACTGGGACCAGAACCGGGATCGGGGACCGGGACGGGGGACCGGGGACTGGGACCCGGATCGGGGACGGGGACCAGGGACAGGGACCGGGACGGGGATCGGAGACGGGGACCAGGGACAGGGACCGGGATCAGAACCAGGACCGGGGACCATGATCGGGATGGGGAACTGGAACCGGGACCGTGATCGGGGACTGGGACGGGAAACTGGGACCGGGACCGGGATCGGGGACTGGGACGGGGAACCGGGACAGGGACAGGGACCGGGACCAGGACTGCGGACAGGAACCAGTACCGGGATCAGGGACCAGGATGGGGAACCAGAACCGGGACCGGGATCGGGGACAGGGACCGGGGACAGGGAGCGGGACCGGCATGGGGAACCGGGACAGAGACCGGGATCGGGGACCAGGACCGGGAACCGGGATTGGGGACCAGGACACTGGACAAGGACTGGGACCGGGATAGGGAACTGGACCGATATCGGGGTCCAGGACTGGGGACAGGGACCAGGACCGGGATTGGGAACTGGGACCGGGACCGTGATTGGGTTCCGGGACGGGGAACTGGGACTGGGACCGGGATCTGGGACCAGAACCGGGGACTGGCACCGGGACCGGGATTGGGGACCGGGAACGTGGACAGGGATAGGGACTGGGATCGGGGACCGGGAGCGGGGACTGGGACCAGAACCGGGATCGGGGACCGGGACCAGGGACATTGACCAGGTCCAGGATTGGGGACGGGAACCGGGGACAGGGACCGGGACCGGGATCGGGGAATTGGGACTGGGACCGGGATGGGAGACGGGGACCGGGGACAGGAACCTGGACCAGGATCGGGAACCGGTACCGGGACCAGGAGGGCGCCGCCTGGCGGCCGGGAGGACTCGCATGGAGGTTCACTATGTCGTCAATGCCACTCGCTCCAAAAGCCCCCCTCCCCAAAACCCAGACCCCCTCCTGGGACTCCTCAGGTCTCTCAAACCATTCACAGACCCCATAAATTCTCCCATATTCCCCAAACCCTGCCTCTTCACGCCCCCCCTCCCCAGTGCCTCCTTTCCCCCTCAATTGCCCCTCCCGCCCCCCAGCACAGTTCTGAATCCCCCCCCCAAAATCCCTCCAGGACTCACTTGGGTTCCACAGCCCTTTATTTCCACACAGGAGTACAGCGAGGGGTGGGGAGGCCCAGAGCTCCCCCACTCCAAAGGTGTGCCCCAACACTGCCAGGGAGGTCTCAGCATGCCGGAGGGACTTGGGGGGGCCCAGAGGGGCTGCTGGGGGGCTCCTTCTGCACAAGCCGGGGCTCATCCTCACCACGTGGCGGGGGATGCACCAGCACCTGATCCAGGAGCCCGAATTCCTGCGCCTCCACCGGGCTCAGGTACCGGTCCCGCTCCATGGCGGCTTCTGGGGAGGTACAGGGGGGTCAGGGGTCTCTCCAGGGGAAACTGGGGGGTCCTGCAGGGTTTCAGGGGGTACCTCACCGATGACGGGCAGTGGCTGCCCCGTGTGTTTGGCATAGAGCCCGTTGATCTGGCGCTTCAGCTTCAGGATCTCCTCAGCCTGGATGGCGATGTCAGTGGCCTGGCCCTGAGTGGGGGGTTCAGGAGGGTCTGGAGGAGTTTGGGGCATCTCCAGCCCTGCCCACAGCCTTGGGGGAGTTCCCATGCCCACCCAACCCCCAGTGTCCCCTGAAGGGTCCAACCATGACTCCCTCCATCCAGGGTCCCCCTTTCTCCCTTCCAGGCACTGCCCCTCCTCTTTTAGAGCCCCCTCCCCACACACACACAACATGGGGAATGCGCCCCTCCCGATTCCCGTGCTCTCCGCATTTTAAGGTCTCCCCAAGCCCTTTCCCCACCCCTCTCCCCAAATTGCTCCTCCAGCTTCCAGCACCACCCGCTGCCCCCCACCCCGAGCCCTCTTCCCAGCCCGGTGTGGGGCAGGGGGGCCATACCCGGGCCCCCCCCGAGGGCTGGTGCACCATGATGCGGGCGTTGGGCAGAGCGTGGCGCATGCCGGGCGCGCCGGCGGCGAGCAACAACGAGCCCATGCTGGCCGCCTGCCCCACGCACCACGTGCACACCGGGGTCAGCACGTACTGCATCGTGTCGTAGATGGCCAGCCCCGAGGTCACCGAGCCCCCTGGGCGGGAAAATCCCGTTAGGGATACCCCAAAATCCACCCTGGGCATTCACATCCCTTTTTTAGAGATCCCAAAGAGCCACAACCGCCCCGGGACTCGCAAGCTTCATTTGGGTTGTAGGTGGCCAAGGTAGGGTCACCAAGCCCCTGGTGGGGGTGGACACTTCCTTGGTGACACCCCCAAACCTTCCTTGACCCCACAAATTCCCCCAGTCCCCCCTAACCCTCCCCTTCTGCCCCGAGGGAGAGGAGGTTTAGGGGTCAGCAACCTTCTCCAGGTGGTCTCATCGCCCCTTTCAGACCCCGCAGCCCTGCCCCGAACCCTCTTTCTTTGTCCCCCAGCCCCTCCACAGCCCCCCCAAGCCTCACCGGGGCTGTTAATGTACATGTGGATGGGTTTCTTGTTGCTCTCAGACTGCAGGAACAGCAGCTGGGCGATCACCAGGCTGGCCAGGCTGTCATCGATCTGGTAGGGGAGGGGGGTGCCGAGGAGAGGTCAGGGGGTCCCCAGGACTCTCAGAGGCCGCTCTGGGGTTCCCGAGCCCCCCCGGGGGTACCCACCGGCCCCATGACACAAACGATGCGCTCCCGCAGCAGCCGCGAGTAGATGTCGTAGGCTCGTTCCCCCCGGCCCTGGCGGTGAAAAGGGGGGGTCAGGGGAGTTTTTGGGGGTCAGCGGTCTGGAGGTGTCGGTGCGATTGTTTGGGGGAGAAGTTGGGAGGTCGGGAAGGGTGAGAGAACAGACAGGAACCTGCACTGATGTTGTATGTGCGGACCCCCCCACTCCGACCTCGGAGGGTGAAAAGGGGGTCCGGGGGTGGGTCTGGGGGCGTCCGGGGAACGAGGCTGGGAGGGGGCTGGAAGTTTGGAGGATCGGGGATAACAAGGACGGGGATGCTGGAAGGGGGTCGGAGTAGTCCGAGAGGCTCGGAGGGATATGGGGCGGGCTAGGGGGGCTTGTGGGGGTCCGGGGGAGGTCGAGGAGGTTTGGGGGTCACAGAGGCCGCCCCCCCCCACTCACCGTCTGCTCCACCACGATGGGGATGAGGGGGGGGGCGCGGGTGGGGACCGTCCTGTGCAGGCAGCGCCGGGCGCCGGCCCAGGCCTGGCAGAGGGAGCGCTGGGGGGGGAGAAAAGGGGGAGTCACCGAGACTCCAGAGACACCCCCCCCCAAAACCAAGAACCACCCCCAAAAACTCTCCAGAACCGGGACTCCCCCCGAAATCGAACCCTGCAAACTGGGGCACCCCAGAACCGAGACTCCCCCTGGGTTCGCCCCGGACCAAGAAAACGCCAGAAGCCACCCCCTGAAACGGGACCCCAGGGACAGCCCGGGACCCCCCCCTCACCGCCACCCCCGGCCCCATGGCGCCCCGGAAGCGCTCGGGGAACACGTGATACGCCAGCACGTGACATCGCTTCCCGCCGACCACGCCCCCTCATGGCCGCTTCTCCTCTGAGACCCCGCCCATTATGGGCGTGGCCGTCGGCCTCAAGTGATGCACCTCGAGACTACGTTTCCCATCGTGCTCCCCGGCGCGGCCGCCATGACGGTGCCGGAAGCTGAGCTGGGGGCGCTCCTCGCGCCTGCGGCCCACCCGGACCCGGCAGAGTTCTATAGAATAATTGTCGCCGTTTGAAGGTCCGATATGGCCCCGCAGAACGCACGGCCTTAAGAATGCCAGCAAGCACAGGCTGGGCCTCTCGGTCGTAAGGTCTCCACGGCTGAACCCCTGTTTTATTCCCCGATTAAACGGACCGTTCTCCCCGTCACAGCGCTAAGTAAACCCCTCAGCAGCGCCAGTTAGAAAGGAACGCCGTGAAATCAGCCCGGCGATGGCGTCACGCCTCCGTGACGTCACGAGGCAGCTCTGCCGCCAAGGACCACATCTCCCGGCAGTCCTCGCTGCCCGAGGCGCGCTCACCCCTCGTGCCGATCGGCAGCCGCGCTGGCCAATAGCATTGCGCCAGCTCCCCGCGCGGCCCCGCCCTCCACACCTTCCTCAGGAAGCGCTGATAGACGCACCGAATAACCAATGAGGCGAGGGAGAGGCGGGGCTTGTGCGGAGAGACGCGTGGCTTAACCAACCAGCGCGCGTCAGCGGAGAGTGATAGCCAATAGGGGATGAGGGGCGGGACCTATGCGGTCGGCCCCGCCCGCCGCCGAGGCGGGTAGCAACAGTTGCCCCGGTGAGGGACCAGGGAGGCCGCCATAGCCACGGTCACCGTGGCGACCGCGCTCCGGGCCGGCCCGGCCCCTGCCGCCGCTGCCCCCCGCTCCGTCGGGCCCCGCCGGCAGCAGCAGCCGCGGCACCGGGGGCAGGCGGAGCCCGCGCGGGGCTCCGGCGGCGGCCGCGGGCAGGTGGGTCCGAGCGGCGCCGCC